CATGGCCAGCATACTCACCGGAGGAATTGGGGCAAAAACAAAAGTGTTGCGTTTATAATTTTGTTCAGTGTAAGAACACAGAAGAGGGTGGGCACATGAGGAACTTTCAGTTTAGGAGTTTGTGTGTGTCTTAGCTTAAAAGCACATTCAATAAAGTTTGCTTCAACATAGTTCTGTATATTTTGTACTGTTTTCTATTTGTGGTTGAACAACTTGTGTTATGAATAGCCATCCAACGTTGTGATGGTTCTGAGATGATCTATAGGTAACTCATCACTATTTCAATGGCTATTAAAATCACTAACACACATTTAAACTGTACATGCTAAAGAAAGAAGTTGAAAATACTGAGATGTAAAAATCTATAAAGACAAATACCTGCCAAATATCATTGTGAACTTAATGCAGCACTGGTTGTGTGTTCTCCAGTTGATGCAAACTCTAAGTTCCATTGTTACGATGCTGCACCATTTGACAGCCCTCAAATATGCTTCTCTATTCGCCAAAAATGTTTAACCCCACATTTCAAAAAGCTACAATGAGAACATTGCTGGTGACACTTTTCTAAAAAACAAAAACAACAACACTACAGCTTATATATGGTTTAGATTATAATTTTCGAATTGTCCATTTTGCTTATTTCATATTATTTGTAAAGTGTGTCTGAATGTCTCTGTGGACCTTTCTCTAAGGCTAAGAACAAATGTACTGCCGAAGCATTTTAGAAAGATTTTCAATTTTTCAGAGACAGGCTTCATTTAGCCCCTTAATTACCACATCATAAAACCTAAACACACATATGAACTTGTTCATTTGTAGCTAAACTAACCTTTTCAACATTTCACACTTTAGTTTCGACATGATGTGATTTCAACTGTACAAAAGTAGCTCATCTCGGCCACACCTACTGACTACCAGTTATGCACAGCGTTCTAACTTTGACAGCTGTATTCTAAAACTAACATAGCTATCCTTATTAGCTAGGCTCCTTACATGCTTGCTGATAACTTTTTTGAAGGTGGGTCTCCGACATTGACAACATTGTGTTGGATAGATTTGTGCAGCGGTGTTTAGGAAACTAACTATTCAATTGACAGACAGGTCTGTTGTCAATGTGTTTGCGAGCAACAACTTACAAACACTGGTCATGTATCATGATAATTAACAGCATTAAATCCATTGATTAAAAATTAAGAGATCTTGCAGCTGACCTTTGTATTCATTTTGTTTTTACTTTCACTTTTTTTGTGCTTTTAAAATACTCATTCTGCTGTCTACTGGGTAGTCTATTATTTTAGTAGTCTGAAGCTTGAAACAATTTAGGAATTTCACTAAAACTCAGCCTTTGTATTTTGTTGAAAATAACTTCAATAAAAACTCAGGCTTTATATTTTCTTACAATAACAGATTATACCAAATAAAGACACTCTGTAATTAGTTTCTTCTCATAAGTATGATTAAATTTGCTTATTTATTTTTTTCTCACAAGTTGGAGTGTGATTATCGCTCCATGCTATCTAAGAGGGAACTTGTGTCATCATGTACAAGAGAACAGTGGACTCCTGTCGTTCCACACAGTACAAGTGTGGTCCCTTTTTCTGTAATTCAAATCAATAAATAAAATGCATTTCTGTAAGTGTAGACTAAGCACATAGATATGATGACAAAATGTATTGACATTCAGTGGTTGTGAAAACTGGTCAGTTTGGTGTTTTAGGACTGAACAAGTTTAAAGCTGTAGTCAAAGTCTGATGTGAAATACTTTTTAACAATTAATTAAAACTGAATAGAAAGTATCTTACCTCTAATCATTTAATTCATAATTCAACTCTGGTTGTTTTTCTATTTTTGTTCCTTTTTTTGGAATCTACAATTCATTTTACTCTCCAGGCCTTCAGTGTAGCCCTTTATTTTGATACATGTTGATCTTAAAACACAAGACATCCACTAAACCTCAGCCTTTATATTTTGTTTTAAAAGAATGTATAGAAAATAAAGAGACTATTTAGTTAGTTTATTTTGTCTCAAAAGTATGATTAAATTTGCTTATTTATTATTTTCACACAAGTTGGAGTGTGGTTATCGCTCCATGCTATCTAAGAGGGAACTTGTGTCATCATCTACAAGAGAACAGTGGACTCCTGTCGTTCCACACAGTACAAGTGTGGTCCCTTTTTCTGTAATTCAAATCAATAAATAAAATGCATTTCTGTAAGTGTAGACTAAGCACATAGATATGATGACAAAATGTATTGACATTCAGTGGTTGTGAAAACTGGTCAGTTTGGTGTTTTAGGACTGAACAAGTTTAAAGCTGTAGTCAAAGTCTGATGTGAAATACTTTTTAACAATTAATTAAAACTGAATAGAAAGTATCTTACCTCTAATCATTTAATTCATAATTCAACTCTGGTTGTTTTTCTATTTTTGTTCCTTTTTTGGAATCTACAATTCATTTTACTCTCCAGGCCTTCAGTGTAGCCCTTTATTTTGATACATGTTGATCTTAAAACACAAGACATCCACTAAACCTCAGCCTTTATATTTTGTTTTAAAAGAATGTATAGAAAATAAAGAGACTATTTAGTTAGTTTATTTTGTCTCAAAAGTATGATTAAATTTGCTTATTTATTATTTTCACACAAGTTGGAGTGTGATTATCGCTCCATGCTATCTAAGAGGGAACTTGTGTCATCATGTACAAGAGAACAGTGGACTCCTGTCGTTCCACACAGTACAAGTGTGGTCCCTTTTTCTGTAATTCAAATGCATATCTTTAAGTGTAGACTAAGCACACAAATATAATGAAAAAAAATGTATTGATGTCCAGTGCTTGTGAAAGCTGGCCAGGTTAGTATTTTGGGACAGAACAAGTTTAAAGCTCTAGATGTCAAATGTCAAATATTTTTTATTAATTAATACTAATTAATTTTTATAATTAATTAAAACCGTAAAGAAAGTATCTTTATACTGACCACTTTATTTCTAATTCTACCCTGGTTGTTTTTCTATTTTTGTTCCGGTTTTTAGAATCTAAAATTCGTTTTACTCTCCAGGCCTTCAGTGTAGCCCTGTATTTTAATACATGTTGATCTTAAAACACAAGACATCGACTAAAACTCAGCCTTTATATTTTGTTAGAAAAAATTAAGAAATTGTGTTTCAAGAGACGGCTTTCTTTACTGAGTAGCTTGTATAATAGCCCCTCTACAGTCTGATAGACTCCCTGGGGCTGCAAGCCATTCACTCTATAGGGGAGTGTTAAGAACGACGTGTGTGAATGAGTCGTTAAAATCTTTGCTTGATCCACTAGAGGCACTGCTGAGTATGGACTTAAACACTCACACACCTGCAGGTCCCCTCTTGACAATAGTTTAAAAAATTTACCAGATGGTTTTAGACATGATTTTAGCATGATTTAAAGCATGTCCAACAGGGGACCTAAAAAATGTCCCCTGTTCACTTTTTAGTCCCCTCTTAGTGGGTGTGTAACGACGTCGAGGTCCACTGTTAGATAGGTTGGTAAGTGCACACACACACACACACACACACACACACACACACACACACACACACACACACACACACACACACACACACATCTGTGCATACAGAGACAAACTAATGCAACACACACACTCATACAAAGCAGTGTGTCATAAAAATGCCTGTGTGCGTGTGTGTGTGTGTGTGTTTGTGTGTTTGCATCCCATGACAACTCAAAATATTGTCCACACACAGGCTCACATTGATATCCGCTCTCACTTTGTTCATGTTGACAAGAAGGTGTGATTTGGAACAAGAAAGTCCTTTCAGATGTGTTTGCACCAAGGATGTATATGAATTGAAGAATTTGGTCACTCTTTCAGATTCCTAGATACACAGACACATGTAAATACATAGGGAGCGTCCATAAGGCACATACCATAGAATTGCAATGTTCATCTCCACCCACGGAGATGTCCTGTCTAAAGCTACACTATGAGCTGTGTAATAAAGGCAAAATGCCAAAGCTAGCTAGACTGCTACATGCAAAAATAAATGTATATGTTATTTATACTATAAATCTAATGAAACAATAACCCACACAGGCCAGAAAATGTCATTTCTTTACAGTATTATAAGTTCAAAGGTCTCTCTCTTCACCCACACTGTCCTTCATTCCTACATACTATCTAATAAAGGATAAATGTGAATAGCTTAAGATGGCAGAGCAAATGGACAGAGATAATTATATAGAATATGTTAGAAGCAATAATAAAAACAAGTGGAGAAAGTAATGGAAACCTAGAGAATTAAGGGTGAAAAATAAGGAGATGGCATGAAGTTAAAGGAGAGAAAATGATGCAGGAGGGTGTCTGGGACCCAGACAACATTCTGCTGATCAGTTGAGAGCTTATCTGCTGTAAGAAGCTTCCTTGTCTGCCAAGGGGCAAGCGCACACACACACACACACACACACACACACACACACACACACACACACACACACACACACACACACACACACACTCTCTCTCTCTCCAAAAATACTTATTTCAAATAATAAGTAAAAAATATCAAGTAATAAAAGGGTGCATTTGACAGTGGAGTCTTTTGAAATTTATTTCTGAAGCCAAAAATCCATCAGAAGACACCAATGGCTGGACGTGTATTATTCTTTAACAGAAAACCAAAAGGGGACTGGAAAACAGATCGGACCATCTGGAAAAGACAAGGAGAAAGACATACCATAGTGTACCGTAGTGTACCGTACTGTACGTATGTATATTGTGTTTGTCGTGACGGACACGATCAAAGTCATCTGAAAAGAAAACTCTTATCACATCTGTCGGGTTTGGAGGGAGAAAGATGTGGAGGGGAGAGACTGATACAGGTTTTCTTTCTTTCTTTCTTTCTTTTTCTTACTTTCTTCAACAAAACACAGACACACAAAGAAAACTATCACTTATTGTGACCTCAGAGGTAAACATTTTGAATCTCTCTCTGTCTCTCATCAGATCTCTCAGATGGTCACTGAGGCCTCCAGAGAAGGTTTGACTGAAGCTGCCCAGAACCGCTACAACACACACTCTCCTTCACACACAAATTCAACATCACACACAAACTCTCCCTCTCATACTCCAGCACCGGCCACCACCACCTCTGCTGCTGCCTCGTTTTTTGCCAGGTAAGATGCATGCTCTCCACACAGCATCCTAATCCATTATTTGGAAAAAACATTCAAATATTGTATTAATGGTCAGGAGGTTCCGCTATCATCATCATCATCGTCATCATTATTATTATTATTATCATCATTATTATTGGCATCCGGAGTTAATTAATTAAACTGGACATTTATTTGCACTACATCTCCAGATCTACTGATGTGTCTGCTGAGTGAGTGAGTGAGAGGACGTGAGATGCATTGTACTAGCTCAGTTGTGCACTATCAATCCTTGGGTTTACACCCTGTGTTTGAGTCCAGACATCCCATTATGCTGATGTCTCTCAAGTTGTCTAATAGAGCAAGAAGAATAAAAGAATAGGCATACAAACAACAACATTGTAAGATGCTGTAAGATGACAGTGGTAGAAAAATGGAATACTATTATATATTGTGTATAAGCGTTTACTTCTCTTTTGGTGTGTTTATTTATAAATCAACTATCCATTCAGTAGTCATCGATGAACTGTGTAATCAAATCTAGAGAAATGCAGAGCGACACAACATAAATAAGACACGGGTAATCTGGGTAAATTATTGATGAATAAACATGGCAAGCTCAAAATGAATGGGTAAATTATTCATGTGTAACACAAGACTGTGAGTGTGTCACAGTGTCTGAAGTATTGCTGAGCCGTCGTATCTAATGAGCTGCTTTAAATCACATTTGAAATTTTACAGATGGTTTTCCTCCTCACTTTCACACATTTCCTCCTCTTCTCCACTCGTCTTCTCTCCTGTCGTGCACATTCCTGTGTTTTGTGATAGTGTGTGTCTCAAAATCTGCAGATAATTCAATGTGTGTCTATCTGTGTTTGATATATGAGTGACATGCTTCAGTGTAGCAGACATAGTGCTTTTGGTCTTGCAAAGCACCAGTGACCAGGCGCAACTCGTATATTGTATGGGAGCGCACACAAACACATGTGCACACACTCTTTCTTTAGCTTCCTTTCTATGACCCTCTTGAACTTTCAGGTAACAAGGGTATTTTACACAAACACACACACACATACACACATCTGGTTGGCATTTCAAACATATGACCAGCTGTCTTTGGGCTGACTTAAAGCAGCATTAACCTTCTAAGTGAAAGAACATGGTTAGTTTAATGGTGCAGGTGTCGCTGATGTGTGTGTCAACGTATGTGTGTGTGTTTCACTGTCAGTCTTCTTTCTTGTTTTAAGCAGTGTAATCACTGTAGATCCTCTACTCTGTGATGTGTAATTTCCTCTTAAAATCAGATTGTGTTTGTTTTGCTTGCTGATTAAAACTTCACATACACACATGTACAGTTTTGTCTGCATTTTCCTGTCATTTGTGTGTGTGCGTTTGTAATAGGATTTCAGTTTAATTGGCAAAAATAATAGCATACACCTTTTATTTTTGGTCCTTAATGTATGTGTGTGTGTGTGTGTGTGTGTGTGTGTGTTTATGGTTGATGGATGCAGCCATGCAGTGCTGGTAAATCCTATGACTGTCTTGGTCTCAGACGTGGACTGCATACAGACATTGTTATTATACACACAATCTCCCTCTTGCTCACTGTCGGCACACAACACAAATCCCTGTGTCCACCACATCTCCGTTCACCTGATCCCTTTCTTCCTCTACATCCTCCTCTTTCTATCCCTTCTCCTTTCCTGCTCTGTCATTTGTTCTCCTCTCCTATTTCTGTTTAACTGCTTTCTCTTTTTATCTCTACTTTCTTCCACTCCTTTCCTCCATTGTTCTGCTATGCCCTCTCCCCTCTTTTTTAACAACTTCTCCATCTCCACACTGACCTTTTCTTTACCTCAGCTAATGTGCATGAGAGTAATATCTTTCATTAGTATCAATTTTGTCTATGAATATGTCACACTCACACAGTAGCGCTCCATCTTCCCAGTGCTGCAGTGACCCTCTGGGGACGCTGGGCTATAGGATAGAGACATGCTGTACATGCCTATGTGTGTGTGTGTGTGTGTGTCACTGGGGGAAGGGAGTTTCTATCAGTGAAGGAATTTTTTACTGCATGCTCGGAGGATTGGATCTTTGGGGATTTAGTTGTGTGTGGGTGTGTGTGTATGTGGCTGGAGGTAGCCGAGTAAATGAATAGGCCCCAAGTGAATTGGTGAATTGGGAGGGCGTTGTTATTTTGGATGGAGGATGGCTGTAAGACGGGGAAGTGCTGCCTCTTTGTCTGCCTCTGTTTATCTCTAGCTGTTTCTTTTCCTTTCTTTAAAAATAAGTATTCATCAAATAATAATTGGGCACCAATTAGACACCAATCATAATAGTTGATTGATGATTTAAATAGGTGGAAACAAATTACCATATCAACTGCCTGATCACATCAGGACCACATTTCCTGTTGTTTTGTTTTTGCTCACATGTCATTTAAAAGTCATTTGAAAGCAGTTGTCTTTTATTTTGACAGAGAAGAAGAACCCCGCTTTCTCTATAAGTAGTCTTTCCAGAGAGATTGAATATAACTATTCTACCTATTCAGTATTTCTAGTGTCTGTAATAGGAAGCAGGAAGTGTGTAAATTGGACAGTATTTGTTCATGTCGATAGATAGATAGTGTCAGTAAAGTCCTCTGTCCATGCCAGTCTTGCTGACCCCCCACGACACATACACACACACACACACACACACACCATCACTCTCTGTCATCGCCTATATCTCCCTCTACTGATGGCCTGTTAAATAGAATGTAATTAGCTACTGAGCCAACAACACAGCCCAGAGACACCAGTCATAAATCAGCTGAGTGTGTTTGTGTGTGTGCTTCAAGTAACTCTTTGTATGTGCGTGTCAAGTGAAAGTGTTTGTGGTTGTCTGATAGGAAGAGGAAAACAAAGCAACAGAATGTTAGTAGATGGACCATTTGTGACCTGTGCTGCTTTTTAACAAGAGAGAGAGACATGAAGGGACTGAGGGGAAGAGATGCATTGATGGGTGAAAGGATCAATATATGTAAGGAAGGCTGAATGGATGGTGGGATGGATGGGTAGATATGTGGAGGGCAGGGAAAACGGCAACGGATGAACGGATAAAAATAATGAGGAAGAGAGGAATAAAAAGATGTAGGGATTATTGTAGAGTGAGAGGGATTGAGAGATGAAAGAACAGGGGGGGAAGTGAAGGCTAGACAAGAGGAATGAATGGATTGAATGAATGACGGAATGAAAAAAGGGGGGGGGATAAAAGGATGGGGGTGACCAATGAAGAGCTGATGGATAGAGAGATGGAGTAGATGGATGGTAAACAAGTGCCCTTCACTTTAGGGTTAGATTGGAATAGATCCACTTGGCCAAATCCCAGGCCACTTGTCATTAAACACTACCAATTAGGTGGTGTGTGTTTGTGTGTGTGCGTGTCTACCATGCTTGAATTGTGCCATAGATTAAACCAGAACATAAAAAGAGTATACATACATATATATATATATATATATATATATATATATATATATATATACACACCGTATATATATACACGATACAATATATATCTGATGTGTTACACTGTAAAAACAATCACATTTAAAAAAGTACATGTTTTGTTCAGGGAGCAAGTACAAATCTCCAGCAGCAGAGTAGCTGTGCATGAATCCATCATAGTCATGTCTCATCCCACAAGCACTGCAGCAGTCGCAGCAGCCTGTTGTTTCCATTGTTACATAGAAATCAATTGTAGATTTTAATTCAAACATAACTCTCTTAAACAAGATTTTTTCGTGCCTCCTAATGAATCTGCAATTTTTACTATTACCATTATTATTTTTAAGTAAATTCCTGCACCTGTTTTTTTTATAATCTACCGCACATATATCTTCATGGCCGAGTGATGCATCAGGTGATATAATAAAAAGAAATCCTGTAATTGCTTTTGATGGCATTTGCAGCATTATGAATGTAAGCTAAGCTTGTGCACAGTGAAAAACACATTAGTGGTGTTTTTATGGAGCTTTGCCTCATGCAATATATGCACTCACACACACATTCACAGTAACAAGCACACACCTATACACACAGATTCACACACAAATCTCCTGGGAGAGATAGTCAAATGGTGAAACGCTTCATCGTTCCATGGGTCACTGAATCCACATCTCTCTTCTCACCCTCCCTCCTCTTCCACTGTCCCGCCCTCTCTTATGTTTCTCTCTCTTTCACTCCCCCCCCCCACTCCCTGCTCTCATTTCTGTAAACTGGCGCAGTTAATTGAAAGCCAATGGTGTGAGAATATGGTTCTTTGACAGAGAGTATGTCAGGGCGCAAGGTCTTCTCTCTCTCTCTTTAAAATCATAAAAATATATGTGAGGATAGATTAAAGCAGAACAGAGCAGGAATCCCTGCTAGAGCAGTCTTTTATTTTTTATCATATTTTTAACACTGCTGCAGTGTGTAACTCAGTTTGTCATGAAATCTGCTAGTTTGAATTGTGCCTTCATAAAATCTAGAGAAGAGATTACACTGACATACGAATATTTTTTACTAATAAAAATTAATCACTTTAGGTGGATTTCTGCCTGCAGCTTTACTGTCACTGGGTTTCTCCCAAGATCACTCTCACTTAACCTCTCTTCATCTTTCTGCTCAGCCGTGGTATTATATTGATGCTTTGCGCACAGTCTCTGCTGCCAAGTATACTCTTTTTTTTGCTTTTTTGCTAGCAAACTTGCATGTGGCCATGCTAAAATCATGCACATAAACACTGAAATTTGACTATGACAGTCTTTACAACCATTATGTAAAAATAGACTACATTATAAATAAAAGTCATGCGGTTAAAATCCTACTTATGTTAAAGTACATTTGTGTTGCAAGCTGCATGTACTTAAAGCAAATAAATGAGAGATGATTACGGGTCGCAAGTCTTTTGGAGCAACTACAATAGTTTAATCAAAAATAATGTACTGTTTTCTAAATGTTCTGTATATGTTTTTTAAATGTAAAATCTTGATCTTAAAACTAATTTCAACAGTCTGATAAATGTACTGGAGTAAAAAGTACAACAATTCCCTTTGAACTGTCGTGAAGTAGAAGTATAAAGTAGCATTAAATGGACATACTAGTAAAGTACAAGCACCACTTTCCACCACTGGTGCTTGGTAATAATCGTCTCCTCCTTACTATAAATTCCTTTCATTTAGGTTAAAGCAGAAATTCTGTCTGTTATATGGACATGTGGTAATTCTGCTGGGGAAGGAAGATAGAGAGTTAGAAACGGGAAGAGAAATAGTTAACTAATAGATGTGAAGCACTGTTGAGAGAGGCAGACACTAAGAACCCGCTGTGTTGAGACAGCAGAACAGAAAGAGAAAGAAGTGAGATTTAGAAAAGTTGAAGTTAAAAGGAGAGAATGAGTAAAGAGAATCTGAGTGCAGGTTAGATGGAGTACATTTAAATATCATTTTTGGTGGCTCCTTTTGAGCTGAATGCTGCAGGGAGTTGAGCAGCAGGAAAGCAAATGAACCACCCTCCATCCAGATGTTGCTACATATGTAAACAGACATTTGTGTGTGTGTGTGTGTGTGTATCTGCGTGTTGAAGGATGTGTATTGGAGTTAGATTTTGGCAAACTATAAGGGTATAATTATAGTCCCATGTCACATGTACCACCATCCTTCCTGTCCTTCCTCTTTAAATGGATCCATTTTAACTATTTAGAGTTTATAATATTGATTTTACAGTGATAAATGTATATCGTTTTAGAATCAGCTTTAGAATCAGACTCGGTATCAGCTTTATGTCAGGTATGTGTACACATTGGAGGAATTTGAATCTGGATTGTACAATGCTCACGATGTGCTTACTTATACAATAATACAGTAATAAAATCAAACATAGGCTACAGTATAGAGAACACTATAAACAAAACAAAATAGACAGATTGAGACAATAGTGCAATGAGCAGAGTACAAAGTATGCAGGAGTAAATTATTACCATTATTGTTATTATTATTATTTTGTACATATCGGAGGTGGATGAGATACACAAGGTGCACATACACATACAAGCATACATCTACTCATGTACACAGTGTGATGGAGCATAGTGCAAAGGATGTTGGAATAAATAAGTATTATGTGCAGGTGTTATGTACTTGAGGTAGGTGGATTTGGTATACAGCATATACAATATACAATATGAACTGTATGAAGAGCTCTGTAATAGAGAATGATGAATAAATAATAAGTGTTGATTTTAACATATTAATTTAATTGATGGACTGTCTCCCTCCTTTCCTGTGTCCCTCTTCTTTCCTCTCTCAGAGCTGCACAAAAGTTGAACTTAGCATCCAAGAAGAAGAAGCAGAAAACCACCGCGGTCACAGCCCCAGTGCCATCAGCATCACCATCATGTGACCCTCCTCTTTTCCCCACCAATTTTAGCTCTGCCCTGTTGATGGCACCTCCCCCGGCTCCACCCTGCCTTCTCCGTGCAGCCAACAAAATCAAAGATACACCTGGGCTTGGAAAGGTAAAGGAAAAGTGTTTTTTATTTAGCCGTGGTGCTGGAATGAATTGAGTCTATCATGCCCGAATAGTGGACGGGCAGATTGCCTTTAATTCAGTTTTAAGTCGGTTCTGTTGATGCCATTTTTTATTTTACGTTGCCCACTATGCTCCATTTTTTGGAGACAGTGATGTTATGACAAAAAAAGTGTTGATTTTAGCGTTGAAATTATTTGGTTTGATGCACTGAAATTTTATAAAATGTTGATCTATAGTCTTATCATGACCTTGGGCAGTTTATCTGAATGTATGTACTGCTGTGTGTGTGTGTGTGTGTGTGTGTGTGTGTGTGTGTCACCCCTGCTGTACCATGTCGGAATGCAGCCTAATGGTTACCACGGTAACACATCTCAGGCTGACAAAAGTCATCTGTCACCGTTGCCAACAGTTGGTGAAACGTGTGTATGTGTGTGTGTTGTGGATGTGTGTGGATGTGTTTGGGGGGGGGGTTTCATGCTTCGCAAGTGTGTGCAATATTGATCGTCCATGTAATGAGTTTTTAGTGCCCCCTCCTCCACAGTTTGAGTGAGAGGCTCACTGACTCTGTGTGTGTTTGTGTGTGTGTCCTCGCTGATAGAAAATGACTGTGGAGAACAAAATCAAACTGACATCAAATAGCACTGGACAGTACACAGAGAGGGAAAGGGACCCCACATGTGTCCTGTTATGTTTTTGTACACATAGGTGTGAGTGAGAAATTGTGAGAGTGCATCACATGTCCTTCTCTATTTATTTGTCTGTGTGCATACATGTGTGACGATATTAGTTTTCTCTCACTATGTAATTTCCTTTTGTTTTCTTTTTTTGTTTCTCTTTATTGGACAGTCAGTGGTGATGCTGCAGACAGAAACATGGGGAGAGAGGGGGGCAGGATATGCAAGCAAAATCGAGTGTTAAAGCTGCAAAGATAAAGCAGCCATGCAGAAATGTGACTTTACCCATGTAGGTAGAAATCTGTATTCCTGCTGTTTTTGTTATAGTATAGTTTAGGTGTTCCATATTTTATTTATCTTTTTGTGCAAATGATTATTTTATGAGCTGCGTCTTTTTCTGCTTTGTCCCTCTTTTGAGCCTCTATTTCCATTTATCTCCATATGGAGGTGACAGATGTCCCCTCAGTTGTCAGGGAGACAGATTCACACTCGCATATTTACAAGTACACTCAAACACAAAACAGCCTAAATGTACTTGCATTATACACCCCCACCACTACACAAAACCCACATTTAGAGTATTTGTCTCATTAAATCATTCTGGCTTCTGTTTCATTGCACTATGATCTTCTGTGATCTTGTGAAAGAAGTGATTAACTTGTCTGCCCTGCTGTGTGTGAATGCCTGCTGCTGCTGTTTAATTTCAGCTATCGGACACCCTTCTTTTCACAATCATGTGGACGTCTCACAATAGTCATTCAGGATTGATATATGTTATGATGGACTTTGATTAAGGTGTCCAGACGTTTGAGCTACGTACCGACTACCGTCTTCCTGTTACCGTGCTGGCAGCCTGTCCATTCTGAATCAACTGACAAATGGAGAAGGAAAAAAAACACTATACGAAAAGCAAGTTAATTTAAGGAAACTGTAGTTATTTCTTACATGTTTTTATTTAATTGTTAAAGCAATAGCTTAACCTTTTGGGAAATGTGCTTATTCCCTTTCTTGTCATGAGTTAGATGAGAAGAACAATGCCACTCATATCTGTCTGTTAAATATAAAGATACTTCAGGATTTTTTACCTTTGGACAGAGCTTACCATCTCTTGGCTGTAAATTCTCAAATTATAAATGCCATTTTTTCCCCTGTTTAAGTAGTCTTACAGACATGTTTGCTGATAGGCGGTTATTGCTTTCATTGCTTTCATTGCTGTGGTTTGGAAATAAATGGACAATAAAAGAAGAAGAGAACATGGTACCAAGGCAGGAAGATATTCTGGTATTTGGAACATAACAAGCCTCTCCCGTGAAATCAATTGAAGCTTGCCAAGACCTAATCAAACACTCTCACACTCACACCCCACACACACCCACCCACAAACACACACATACACAAACATATGGGAAGAAAATGGCTGTGGTGACATTTCTCCAGTAAAAATGTCACCTGCAGAGGGGGGCGGCCCCCTGCTGAAATGGCATTTGCACACATTCACACTCACACACGCGAGCATACAGGCTTGCATGCTCACAAATTCATAGGATTATAGAGTACAATGAAAGATGTCAAGAAGGCGGCAAAGCCCCTGGTGGAAGTGTGTACGATACATTACAGCCTGCAGAATACATGGGCTTGTCTGCGAGTGTGATGGGGGGTTAGTGTTCTCCCGCGATGTTAATATGGCAGAAAACAGATTGAGACATCACATCTAAAGCCAGGGGAAATCAACCTGCACAGGTCAGCTGTACTGCTGTGTGTGTGTGTGTGTGTGTGTGTGTTACAGAGAGAGAGAGTTTAGCCTCATTCCATCTTGGGATGTCAAATTAAATAGAATCCCTCAGTGGATCTTTCTGACTGGCGTCTGTATCTCAAACTCCCCTCTGTTATTTCGATACACGGTGCTTCTCTACATGTTGTTGGTAAGCTCCGTCTCACTTTAATCAAATCAGCCAGCTGGGAGCCTTCCATTCAGATCGCTGACTGCAGGGGGAGATGTGTATCAGTCGAGGAAATTAAGCTGTGTATGTATTATCAAAGAAAACCAACTGCAGAGTCACACAGAAATACAGTAGAAAATATGGAGGATTTCAACAATCGATTTTCATCTGTAATCGTCTTTTTTGATTGCATTCTATGCATCCTGAGTGATTTAGTCCAAAATGTGTTTATCAGCTTTGTGCTTCATGAAAGTTCAACTGATATCAGTGAGTGTCATTCAGCAGAAGTGGAGATAAACTAATGCATGTATGACTGCTAAATTATGGAATTATTTCTCCTTGCCCAAAATGAGCGATGTCACTGTTTAAATATCGGGCCTCATTCATTTTCATATTCTTATGTTAACTTTCTCTTAATTTTTGTCGTATGAATGTGCCATGTCAGATTCAGCAAACGCTGATGAATACCTTTTGATCATAAATGAGCGTTCATAAGAAATAAATTAGCATAATTAACGCCCCAATAATACCAAACAATATGTCAGGAACAGTTCATCGATGGAAATGACGTTGAAAAGTAAAAAGAACTTTGAGTTTGGACATTGAAGTCCTGCTTTCGGAGATCCATAAAGGAAAGTTTCACATTTTTAACAGCGTCAGCAGTGGAATTAAGGGAATAGGGTTAGATCGTTGTGTCTGTCTGCTCTAAAAAGTTTCACATTTGCAGAAACACAGCCTGTGGTAATGGAAACCGCGACAACAACCATTCATAAGTCTCTGCCAATATATCAGGACACTGTCACTCTCTTCCAAGGACCTGACCTGCTAAGTTGTCCAAAAGATTACACTTCTATTTGAGTTTATTATATAAACAGACAAATTAACCCTCAGTGAGTGTATTATTTAAGTAGTTTTGCAGTTGAGATGTTCATATTAATATTGTAGTGTTACCTACAATAGCATCAATAGCCAATTTAAAAGAATTATGATATCGTTCGGCCATATGAAATTTAAAAATTAAAATTAATATATTTTGAATTATATTACAATTCAAATTGCTGACAAACAGATGAAACAGAATGATGACAATATAATTATAAAGTGTAATTTATATAGGATTTTCAAACTCACAGTTGCTTTAAAGTAATGAAATATACAATCCAATAGTGAAAAACCTGATTGGGTTTGTGGCAGACTAATTGTACCTGACTCCTGGTCTGGACCACAGTGAATGTAGCATTTTCTTCTAAATCACTCTTGCAAGCCACTGAAGGACAGCTCTGTTCGTATGAGTGGTTCTTGCATTAAGCCCATTCTTCTTCAAGCTGTCTGCTGTACTTCATCCACTGTTCTGTAACATAATTATGTAATGGTGGTGGTGATGGCGCAATGGATAAGACAATGCCTTTGGTGTGAGAGACCCGCGTTAAATCCCCCACCATCCACCAATGTGTCCCTGAGCAAAACACTTAACTCCTAGTTGCTCCAGAGGTGTGCAACCTCTGTCATATATAGCAATTGTAAGTCGCTTTGGATAAAAGCATCAGCTAAATGAATAAATGTATAATCATCTACATACTGTTTAACATACAGTATTAGAAGAGGAATGAGAAATAGTATTAAAAACAAAAGCTAATATGGGGAGCTTTCTCTTCTCCTCTCCCCTCTGTAACCTAACCTATCCTCATCTCTCTAAGTGTATGGATCATCCTCTGCCTTAGCATGCCTTTATCCCCCCCCTCTGCCCTTCTCCTTATCTGAATGGCAAAAAAAGGACTGTGGGAGTTTTTCCCCTACCTCTTTCATCTCTGCAGCCAACATTTTGCACGCACACACACATGCACACTCACAGATTGCAACTTGACCTTGGGGGAAATTGATCCTATGACAGCTAATCAATTTTTAATAGCAGCTACGATCCCTCTCAGGCCACAAGCTGTGTGCGTCTGTGTCAGGAGGGAGCATGTGCAAGTGTATTTTCTACGGGCATTTGTGCGTCCTCATGCCTATCTGGGTGTCCGTGCGTTTTGTATCTAAATGAGTAAGTGAGTCTGTTATGGGAATGCAGCAGCCACTTTGTTCCACCTTGTAGCTGAAATATTAATGCTGTCAGTATTGGCAGGGCTGGAGCATGACACACACACACACACACACCCTTACTCTGTCCTACTGCATACTCTACTGTATGTGTGGGTTTTTTGTTGCCCACTATGCTCACATCTTAAAGCACTTCTGAGATTAATTTGTGATTTGGAGCTTTATAAATTAGATTGATGTGATTGGTGATTTGGCGATAGACATGTGAGCAATGTAATTTTTATCAATTTTACTCCTGGCCGATCAATTTAGAGCAAGAAATGTGTCTGTCACTC